GGCAAACAGCTGCCAAAAATCTTGCCAAGAAAACTGCAGAGATTAGTCCAGGTAGTCATAAAGAGTCAACATTGACGGCACAATAAATAAATAAATCCGAGGATTAGAATTATGATATTGTCCAATGCATAAGGTTTTGTTTTTGTTCTCAGCATCATTAAGTGCCTTAACATTTATGAAGCGTACCTGGAGCGCTCAGTCCTACTGCAGAAATGATTTTTCCCTTTGATGTGACAGAAGATCTGTTTACTGTCACAACTTAACAGCTTTGTTCCATCTTTCTTTTACCTAGAGCAAATCACTAGATATTAAACATTTGTCCTTGGAAAAAGGAAAATGAATCTGTTTCAACTAATTTCAGGTTACAATGACAGGTGAATTAAGAAAAATTATTCTTTTAATCATTAATTTAGAGAAAAGCATATGGCAACAGTCCTTTGACAATCTCTTTAATGCATCTCAAAAATACATTTTACACTTGGCTTATTTACTGGCAAGTCACAGCTAACTATAATTGCCAATACATGTGCTTATTATTTGGGGAAAATATTGTAAGAACTCAGCTAGTTATAGTTATTCAGTAGATCATAATTAAGGAGATAATGGCTTAGTGTTACCTTGCTACTCAGTACTTTGCTACTGTTGTATTTCTCAGGCTTTGATAACAAGTCATGTTGTCTGGAGCACTTCCAGGCTTTATGCAGTGGGAGGTAGGTTATACTGGAGGGTGCCTCTGATGTGTCTTTCTTTTATTATTAAACTTTATTGTCATTGTACCTCGTACAATGAAATTAAATGCCATCTCCAGTGCACCTTATAAATATAAAAACCACAGAATAAAAACCATAGAATAAAATAGAATTTAAATACGATACTGAAGGATGCATACTTTGCACTGTTCCTGAGCTTGAAAATAGATTATTTCAATGCAAATGCTTAGCACTTCAAGGACTCAAACTTTCACTGTACAGTAACTTTATGAATGAGAGTTCAGTGAGGCTTCCTTCCAAGTATGCAAGAGATGAAGTGTGAAAACCATGGTTAGTCCTTTTTCCAGAATGTTTTTCAAGTCTAATAAAATGTAAACCTAATAATAATAATAATAATAATAATAATAATAATACTGGAGGATATTCACTAGTGCAACATACATATCATAAACTGAATTATCAGTAGCAGCATACCAATCCACAGACACCTTTATCAAGTTTTTCTGTCTGCCAATCTATATATAGTTATAGAGTGTATGCACACTCCATATAATTAGTAAGTTAAAAGATCTGATAACATGTAAATGATAAAACAATGAGATGATAGCATGTGCATTTCCAAAACAATTTATCCTTTTGGAGTGATTTATATCTAATTTAACATAACAATGCCACTTACTTCTCAATCATTTACTTTGAAATTACTTATTGTTTGCATTGGTAAAAGAAATTATATATAAATACCATGCATAATGCCTATTTCAAATGCAAATCTGTAAATGCATTCACCACTAATCTACACTGAAACAAAGATAAAAAGCTGTAAGCTTACCAAAGTGCACAGAAAGATCTATGAATCAATCTTTACTAGGTGTCCATTAATGACTTATCAGTCAGTCACTAAGAAATGAGGCATCAATTTTTTTTTCTTTCAAAAAATGTAATAGAGACAATCCTCCTTCCAAACAAGCAGTCAAATAAAACCTGAGTCCACATAATTAACTAAATAAGCACTGGCTGGTAAAAATTATTAACTGATATATACATTCTCTTTTTAAAATCCAGAAACAGTTGTATGCATTTCAGCTTTATCATATTAACTTGGAATAATCTTGATAATAAAATCATCAATACTATTTTATAATAAAATCATATAAACATCAGCTATTTCACCTAAATTTATAAATCTGGCATGCTGGAAGTTAAGATTTATTACAGGCATTCTTATTTATTAGTAAGGCCTG